CAGTGCTTTTTTATTTAGAATTCAGTGTTTATTTATTTAGAATTCAGTGTTTATTTATTTAGAATACAGTGTTTTTCATTTAGAATTCAGTGTTTTTTATTTAGAATTCAGGGTATTTATTTAGAATTCAGTGTTTTGTATCGAGAATTTGGATATATTTTTAGAAGTAATTTTTTTTCTATTTAGAATTCAGGGCTTTTAATTTAGAATTTGGTGTTTTTTATTTAGACTTCAGTGTTTTTTTTTCGAAATCAGTGCTTTTTTATTTAGAATTTGGTGTTTTTATTTAGAATTCGGTGGCTTTTTATTTAGAATTCAGTGCTTTTTTAAAATTTAGAATCCAGTGTATTTTTATTAGAATTCAGTGTTTTTTAATTAGAATTAGGTGTTTTTATTTAGAATTGTGTTTTATTTAGAATTCAGTGTTTTTTATTCAGAATTTGGTGTTTTTTATTTAGAAGTCAGTGCTTTTCATTCAGAAAATTGTGCTTTTTTTTAGATGTGTGTTTTTTATTAGATGTTGGTGCTTTTCTAGAATCCAGTGTTTTCAATTTAGAATTCAGTGTTTTTTATTTAGAATTCAGTGCTTTTTATTTAGAATTCAGTGCTTTTTGTTTTGAATTCAGTGTTTATTTATTTAGAAGTCAGTGTTTTTTAATTTAGAATTCAGTGTAATTATTTACAATTCAGTTTTTTATTTAGCATACAGTGTTTTGAATTTAGAATTCAGTTTTTTATTTAGAATTCAGTGTTTTCTATTGAGAATTTGGATTTTTTTAGAATTCATTGTTTTTCTATTTAGAATCAAAATAAAATCAAATCAACTTTATTTATATAGCACTTTTCATACAAAAAATGCAACTCAAAGTGCTTTACAGATTAAAATGGCCCCATAGATCCCACATTCCCATCCCAGCCCCCCTCCCCAGGTATAAAACAATTAAAAATTACAGTTCCCCTCCCGCACCCAACTTCCAAAGTGGACATACAATCACCCGCACACACACACACACACACACACACACACACACACACACACACACACACACACACACACACACACACACACACACACACACACACACACACTCGTGAACACCAGTGGAAACAATAGGCTGAGTTTAGATGGGTCAGGTAATGAACGACACATCCTCAGCGGAGCCATCTGCCTTGGCAGCAACAGATCCACAGCAGCAGCCAAGACACCGGCCCATGACGCCCAGTGGCGTAGGGCAGAAACCCCCACCAGTGCCCGGGCACTACCTGGGGAGCGCCCCGGCCGCCGCCGCCCCTGACCACCGGCCCCAAGGCAGAGGGCTCCGCAGAGGAAACACTGGAGGATTTAAGATATATAACATATAAAATAATAAAAGCTAATAATGATAAAAAGTAACTGATAAAAAGTGATTATAAAGATAGTAAAAGAAAACATAATCATATAAAAACACTAAGATGTATATAAAATGATAAAAATAATAAAAGAGATAAATATGTATTTATAGATAAATAGTAATCAGTTAAAAGCTAAGCTAAAAAGGTGGGTCTTGAGCCTATTCTTAAAAGCCTGGATGTTCCCTTCGGACCTGAGGTCCTCCGGCAGCCCGTTCCAAAGGCGAGGGCCGTAATACTTGAAGGACGCCTCGCCGTGGGTGTGAGTCTTAACTTTAGGGATAACTAGGAGACGGCTGCCAGAGGAGCGCAGAGACCGCGAGGGTTTATACAGTAAAAGCAGTTCTGAAAGATAAGAAGGCCCAAGACCATTAAGACACTTAAAAACCATTAAAATAACCTTAAAATCAATCCTGAAACATACGGGGAGCCAGTTCAGTGATTTTAAAACCGGAGTGATGTGCTCCCGCTTCCTGGTCTTCATCAGGACACGTGCTGCTGAGTTTTGTAAAAGTTGTAAACCTGAGATGCTCTTTTTGGGAAGACCAGAAAGCAGGGCATTGCAGTAATCAATTCTACTAGTTACAAAAGCATGCACTAGCGTCTCCGTATTGGCCCGAGAGAGAATGGGGCGGACTCTGGCGATATTCTTAAGATGGTAAAAACCTATTTTTGTGATGTTTTTAATATGGGGGATAAAAGTCAGCTCAGAGTCAAAAATAACACCCAGATTCTTCACTTGTAGTGATGGATAAAAAGACATTGATTGTAGTTTAGGTAAAAGTTTCTCTCTCTGGGGCCTCAGGACCGATGACTAAAACTTCAGAAGTCAGTGCTATTTTAATTTAGAATTTGGTGTTTTTTTATTTAGACTTCAGTGCTTTTTATTTAGAATTCAGTGTTTTTTATTTAGAATTTATTGTTTTTTATTTAGAATTCAGTGTTTTTATTTAGAATTCAGTGTTTTTTATTTAGAATTAGGTTTTTTTTATTTAGAAATCAGTGTTTTTTTATTTAGAATTCAGTGTTTTTTTAAATTTAGAATCCAGTGTATTTGTTTTAGAATTCAGTGGTTTTCTTAATTAGAATTGTGTTTTTTATTTAGAATTTAGTGTTTTTTATTCAGAATTTGGTGTTTTTTATTTAGAATTAAGTGTTTTTTATTTAGAATTCAGTGTTTTTTTTATTTAGAAGTCAGTGCTTTTGATTCAGAAAATTGTGCTTTTTTTAGAATTGTGTTTTTATTAGATGTTGGTGCTTTTTTAGAATTCAGTGTTTTTTGTTTAGAATTCAGTGCTTTTTATTTAGAATTCAGTGCTTTTTTATTTAGAATTCAGTGTTTATTTATTTAGAATACAGTGTTTTTCATTTAGAATTCAGTGTTTTTTTCTTTAGAATTCACTGTAATTATTTAGAATTCAGTGGTTTTTATTTAGAATACGGTGTTTTTAATTTAGAATTCAGTGGTTTTTATTTAGAATTCAGTGCTTTGTATTGAGAACTTGGATATTTTTTTAGAATTATGTGTTTTCCTATTTAGAATTCAGTGCTTTTTTAATTTAGAATTTTGTGTTTTTTATTTAGAATTCAGTGTTTTTTATTCAGAATTTGGTGTTTTTTTATTTAGAATTAAGTGTTTTTTTATTTAGAAATCAGTGTTTTTTATTTAGAAGTCAGTGCTTTTTATTAAGAAAATAGTGCTTTTGTTAGAATTGTGTTTTTTATTAGATGTTGGTGCTTTTTTAGAATTCAGTCTTTTTAATTTAGAATTCAGTGTTTTTTATTTAGAATTCAGTGCTTTTTATTTTGAATTCAGTGCTTTTTATTTTGAATTCAGTTTTTCTTTATTTAGAATTCAGTGTTTTTTTATTTAGAATTCAGTGTAATTATTTAGAATTCAGTGTTTTTTATTTAGAATTCAGTGGGTTTTTTTTTAGAATTCAGTGTAATTATTTAGAATTCAGTGTTTATTATTTAGAATACAGTGTTTTTCATTTAGAATTCAGTGTTTTTTATTTAGAATTCAGGGTATTTATTTAGAATTCAGTGTGTTTTATTTAGAATACAGTGTTTTTAATTTAGAATTGAGTGGTTTTTATTTAGAATTCAGTGTTTTGTATTCAGAATTTGGATATTTTTTTAGAAGTCATTCTTTTTCTATTTAGAATTCAGTGCTTTTTAATTTAGAATTTGGTGTTTTTTATTTAGACTTCAGTGTTTTTTTATTCCGAAATCAGTGATTTTTTATTTAGGAATTTGGTGTTTTAATTTAGAATTCAGTGGATTTTTTTTAGAAATCAGTGCTTTTTCTAAATTTAGAATCCAGTGTATTTTTATTAGAATTCAGTGTTTTTTAATTAGAATTTGGTGTTTTTATTTAGAATTGTGTGTTTTATTTAGAATTCATTGTTTTTTATTCTGTTACGGCCGCAGCCGTTTTGAAGCCCAGAGGTGTGCTCCGCGCCGTTCCCTGTGCAGCAGCGCAGCACCACGGCCAGCTACGCTCTGGGATGTTGTCCTTACTCCAGCACCATGGAGAGCGCCGGAGCGGCAGGCACAAGCAGCTGGGACTTTTTATCTCATCAGCCGGCCCTTCAAAAGCGGCCAGCTGGAGCTCATCAGGGGAGAGAAATGTTTGGAGTTGCAGAGGCAACGTTTGTTCTCTCCCCGTTGGCAGTTAACAGGTTGTTGTTGGCTTTTTATAAAGAAGCAGCTTTAGAACCTTTTGTGTTTTGGGATATTTGCAGTTAAGCGGTAATTTTGGTTTTGGTGTGTCTGCTAGACCATCTTGTGGTTTAAATTACCAGGTGGGGATTATTCCCCTTTTGAAGTCTCCGTTTCCTGAGCTATTTTTGTTGTTTGGGTAACCTAAGTTAATTCAGCATTTGGTTTTGTCTGTTAGACAAACCTTGGTTAATTTAAGGGTGGGATTTTCCCCTTTTGCTGTTTCATTCCCTTTTTAAATAAAGGAGATTAATTTTAAGAGTGGTTGGTCCTCTGGACATTTTTAGTTATTCGTTTAAACTTAGTTTGGTAAGGGTTTTTGGCCCTTCTTTTGGTACTTTCTTTTTGTAATAAAATCCTTGAAAGGAAACTTTGAGTTTGGTTTTGCTTGGTCAAGCCTTTTTCTCCCCAACAAGGGTCACTTTTTGTTAGACTGGTCCATCTTATGTTTATTCCCCTCACCTTCCTAGCTGAGCCCATAGAGGGGTGTAACATAAATGGGGGCTCGTCCGGGATTTCACTGATTTATAGCTGTTTTATTACACGGTTATAGCCTGTTTTAGATCAGTTAAGCCCGTGCCAAACGTTTGGACTAGTTTTAACATTTGCTCTTTGTTGGTTTTGTGAAGACACAAAACCCACGCTGTTTTGTGTTGTGTCATTTTGTTTTGTGCTTAAACATGGCTCAGTTTTGTGTGGAGACATTTATGGAGGCTCCATCCCGTGAGGTGCTGGAGCGTTGCCGCAAGGCTGACCTTCTGCAGATAGCTGTCAACCTTGCTCTTGACATCCCAAACCCTGTGCTGAAAAAAGACTTGAAATTGCTCATTGTGGAGCATTTGGAGGACATGGGGATTTTAAAGACTGAGAATGAGTCTGGTGCAAAGACGGAACCAGAAGGATCTCCTGCAGATCCTGATGAATGTGACGATCCTGAAGTCCCTGCTGCTGCGGAGGATCATGAGGGTGAGACGATGGAGACAGGAAAAACTCCTCTAACCGTACGAAAGTCTGTTCCGACCTCCCCAGGTTCGCCGACGGAAGGATCTCGAGACGCACGACTGCAGGTGCGGCTGGCACGTCTGGACATGGAAAGAGAGGAGAGAGCCCAGGCTAAAAGACTCCAGATGGAACTGGAGGTTCGGAGGATGGAGATTGAAGCTGACACAGCTGTGAGAATAAGGAAATTGGAACTGGAAGCCCAGCTTTCCAACCCTGGACTTCATATCACGCCCACCAAAGCTCCGCAACCCGCCACAACCCCGGCCTTTGACATTAGTAAGTGCATTTCCTTAATGCCTACATTTAGAGAGACCGAGGTTGACAGCTATTTTGTAGCTTTTGAAAGAATTGCGGAGACGTTGCAGTGGCCGCGCGGGGTGTGGTCTCTGCTGCTCCAGTGCAAGCTGAGCGGCAGAGCTTTAGAAGTTCTGTCTGCGCTCCCTGTCACAGATAGTCTGGACTATGACCGAGTGAAAACTGTTATACTACAAGCGTATGAGTTAATCCCTGAAGCTTATCGTCAAAAATTCAGACAAGCTAAGAAAAGTGCTGGACAAACACATGTGGAATTTGCACGTGAAATAAGCATGCTGTTTGATAAATGGTGTGCGTCCACAAAAATTAAAACTTTGAGTGACCTCCGAGAGCTTATCCTTTTGGAGGATTTTAAACGTAAGCTGCCTGAGAGACTGGTAACCTACTTAAACGAACCAAAAGTCAGCACTTTATCAGCTGCGTCCCTTTTAGCGGACGAATTCACACTCACTCACAGAGAGATTGTGAGGAGAGATGAGAGAAAAGACGTTCAGCCCGTTTTGATGAAGAAATCCATAAAAAGAAGCTCTCAAAACGGAAATCCTGAAACCCGTACCTGTTACTATTGTCACAGAACGGGACACGTTCTTAAGGATTGTTTTATGTTGCAGAAAAAGAACGGGAAGCCCACTGCAGCTCCTAAGGAAGTTGCATTCCTTAAAAAGTCGCCTGTGGTTAACCCCTTGTGCGCCGCCAGGGAGCCTGATGCTTGTTTTGCACCCTTTATTCTTTCGGGGGAGATCTCGTTGACTCCTGGTGATGCAGACAAGCAAAACGTTCGCATTTTGAGAGACACAGGTGCGTCTCAAACGTTAATACTGAGCAGCGCACTCCCATTTTCAGCCAGTAGTTCACGCGGGTACGCTGTTTTGTTACAGGGAATTGAAATGAAATCCCTGCCTGCCCAGGTGCACCGCGTTCACCTGGAATGCCAGCTCGTTAGCGGCTGCTTTGATGTTGCCATTTGTGACCATTTACCGGTAAACGGGGTTGATGTGTTGTTGGGGAATGATGTTGCTGGAGGTAAAGTGCTACCTCTTCTAGAAGTAGTTCCTCAACCTCAAGCCGAACATGTAAATTGTGCTGCTGATTCACATTTTTACCCAGCTTGTGCTGTCACCCGTTCGCAAACGCAGAATAATGCGGACATCCAGTTAAGTGACTCAGTGCTGATGAGACTCCTCAGTGATGACTCCGAACAGACAGCCCATGATGGACTTGGATTTGTTCCGTCATCAGACGCAGAAGAGCAGAGAGAAAAGGCTGATGCTGATCCTCAGCAAGGAGAACCTTTTCCACTTACGGCAGAAACCCTTTCTGCTGCACAGAAGAGTGATATTACTCTGAAACCTTATTTTGAACAGGTGACCACTTCAGATAAAACAGACAAAACTACAACACATTATTTATTAGATAATGATGTGCTGGTGCGTTGTTGGCCTCAGCCCGCGGCTGAGGGCATGGAATGGGGGTTGGTGAAACAAATAATTGTTCCATCCTCTTACAGAGAACATGTGGTCTCCTTGGCACACGAGAGTGACTGGTCTGGCCATTTGGGTGTCAACAAAACTTATAAACTGTTGTTGCAGCATTTCTTTTGGCCAGGGATGAAGAAAGAGGTGTCTCTCTTCTGTCGGCGTTGTCATGTCTGTCAGATGACAGGAAAGCCGAACCAGCCCATTCCTCCTGCCCCGTTACAGCCCATTCCTGTAGTGAGTACGCCTTTTGACCATGTCATCTTAGACTGTGTGGGACCTTTACCTCCTTCTAGAACAGGAAAGCGATTTTTGTTAACCCTTATGTGTTCAGCTACAAGGTTTCCGGAGGCCATACCGCTGAACTCCATCACCACCAGGTCTATAATCAGAGCTCTAACCCATTTCTTCTCCATCTTTGGGTTACCAAAGGTAATACAGACCGACCAAGGGACAAACTTCAAATCTAAACTGTTCAAACAGGTAACAAAAACCTTAGGAATCACACATGTCATGTCATCCGCGTATCATCCTCAGAGTCAGGGCGCTTTGGAAAGATGGCACCAAACTTTAAAGGCAATGCTGACAAAGTATTGCTTAAGTAAAAGCAAAACGTGGGAAGAAGGATTGCCTTTTGTGTTGTTTGCTGCTCGTGAGGCTGTGCAGGATTCTCTTGGTTTTAGTCCTGCCCAGCTTGTGTTTGGACACACTCCTCGTGGTCCCCTGAAAGCTCTAAAAGAGAGATTTCTTTTTTCTGATCCGCCTGACAGAAAAGTGCGGGAGTATGTCCAACTCTTCCAGAAAAGATTAAAGGAAGCAAACTCTATTGCTAAAACTCACTTGGACAAAGCTAAACTGAAGATGAAGGTTCAGTATGATAAGACGGCAACCAGACGTAACTTTGCAGTTGGAGACAAGGTACTGGTTCTAACTCCTTTGTCCAATTCGGCTCTCAGCACCAAATTTGAGGGACCATTTGAGATCCTGAGTAAGCTCGGGGACACAAATTATGTGCTACACACACCTGCCAGGAGACAGAAAAGCAGGGTTTGTCATGTTAACATGTTGAAGCGCTATGAGGATGGTTCCCCTCTGTCTAAACCTGTAACAACTTGTGTTTTAGTACCAGATGCTGCTAACAAACCTATGGTACCACAGGAAGCTGGTGAAGTCGGAGAAGACTTCCCCTCTAGTTGTAGTCCTCGGTTAAATAACTCCGAGGCACTTAAGGAACTGGAAGGACAGATAACACATTTGTCACCTGAAATGGCTGGAGACTTGGTGAAGTTAATTCACTCTAGGAAGAGTCTGTTTGTTGATGTGCCCACTCAGACCACTGTGTTAGCACATCATGTTGAGGTGAGTGAAGCCAAGCCCATTAGACAGCATCCGTACCGTGCTAGTCCCGAGAAAAGACTGATTATGAAAGAAGAAACGGAGTACTTATTGAAAAATGGCTTTGCTATTCCCAGCAGGAGCCCCTGGAGTTCACCCTGTCTGGTGGAGAGGAAACCAGATGGAACCGCTCGGTTTATAACCGATTACAGGAAGTTAAATGCGGTTACCATCTCAGACTCATATCCTCTACCCCGTATAGATGATTGCGTTGACAGTGTGGGACCTTCCAAGTTTGTGACTAAGTTGGACCTGTTAAAGGGATATTGGCAGGTACCTTTAACAGAAGAAGCTTCTCTTATGTCAGCTTTTGTTACCCCAGATGCCTTTTTACAGTACACTGTGTTACCCTTTGGCATGAAAAATGCACCTGCCACCTTCCAAAGGTTAATTAACACTTACTTCTGGCCTCTCACATTGTAGTGCTTACCTCGACGATATTGTTGTTTATACAGACACCTGGGAAGAACACCTCAACACTCTCACTCAGTTATTTGATCGTCTGGTGCAGGCCAACCTGACCCTGAACTTGGCCAAATGTGACTTTGTTAAGGCTACCGTCACTTACTTAGGTAAAGAAGTTGGGCAGGGGAAAGTAAAGGTCCTGCATGAAAAGGTGAAGGCTATGATGTCGTTTCCTCCTCCCTCTACTCGCCGAGAACTGAGACGGTTCCTGGGCATGGTTGGATACTATAGGGGGTTTTGTCGAAACTTTTCTGCCGTTGTTCTTCCTCTCACAGATCAGCTAAGTCCCAAAAGGAAGTTTGAATGGACTTCGGAGTGCCAAGCCTCTTTTGAGGCTGCCAAGCTGCTGCTGTGCTCTGCTCCTGTCCTGGCTGCACCCGATCTGACCAGGCCGTTCAAGCTGGAAGTTGATGCCAGCGCTATAGCCGCTGGAAGTGTGCTGATCCAGGAAGATTCAGCTGGTATTGATCATCCGGTCTGTTATTTTTCTAAGAAGTTCAACCGACACCAACTGCACTATTCCACCATTGAAAAGGAAACGTTGGCTCTACTCCTTTCATTGCAGCATTTCCACGTTTACGTGGGTTCCAGTTGTTCTCCTACAATAGTGTATACAGACCATAACCCTTTGACTTTCCTCAGTAGGATGTATAACCAGAACCAGCGGCTCATGCGGTGGGCGCTCATCCTACAGGAATATGCCATCGAGGTTCGACACAAGAAGGGGACTAACAACATCATTGCTGATGGGTTGTCCAGAAGTTTTGGTAACCTGTAGCGTCCAATAACCACTACATATCACAGATGCATACAATTTGTTTTAACTCCTCCTTCCAGGGCCCCTTGTAGGCACAAGGGCTTCACCCTCTTTAGGGTGTTGCCGTTTGTTGTTTTCTCTAGGGTTGCGGCAAGAGGCTAGTGTTGTCTGTGTCCTGCAGACATCTCGGGAGCACCCCAGGGTGATGGGGGACGGGCTTGCCAATGGGCCACCCCTCGTCGTCGCTGGTTTGTATGTGTACATCCACACATGTGCTTAATCTGCCCGCCTTAACCCGCATGAAGAGCAAGGGTTGAGTTAGAGAAGCTCCCCCATAGGTAGTTAGCGGGATGCCCTGGTTGTGTGTAAATGGAGGATACTGTTGAGTTTTAAATGTATCTTGCGTTTTAAGAAAAAAGATGGTGGTGTCTTAGGTATGGTTTTAGATTCTTTATCTCACCCCCTCCTTTTTTCTTTTAAGGGTGGGGATGTTACGGCCGCAGCCGTTTTGAAGCCCAGAGGTGTGCTCCGCGCCGTTCCCTGTGCAGCAGCGCAGCACCACGGACAGCTACGCTCTGGGATGTTGTCCTTACTCCAGCACCATGGAGAGCGCCGGAGCGGCAGGCACAAGCAGCTGGGACTTTTTATCTCATCAGCCGGCCCTTCAAAAGCGGCCAGCTGGAGCTCATCAGGGGAGAGAAATGTTTGGAGTTGCAGAGGCAACGTTTGTTCTCTCCCCGTTGGCAGTTAACAGGTTGTTGTTGGCTTTTTATAAAGAAGCAGCTTTAGAACCTTTTGTGTTTTGGGATATTTGCAGTTAAGCGGTAATTTTGGTTTTGGTGTGTCTGCTAGACCATCTTGTGGTTTAAATTACCAGGTGGGGATTATTCCCCTTTTGAAGTCTCCGTTTCCTGAGCTATTTTTGTTGTTTGGGTAACCTAAGTTAATTCAGCATTTGGTTTTGTCTGTTAGACAAACCTTGGTTAATTTAAGGGTGGGATTTTCCCCTTTTGCTGTTTCATTCCCTTTTTAAATAAAGGAGATTAATTTTAAGAGTGGTTGGTCCTCTGGACATTTTTAGTTATTCGTTTAAACTTAGTTTGGTAAGGGTTTTTGGCCCTTCTTTTGGTACTTTCTTTTTGTAATAAAATCCTTGAAAGGAAACTTTGAGTTTGGTTTTGCTTGGTCAAGCCTTTTTCTCCCCAACAAGGGTCACTTTTTGTTAGACTGGTCCATCTTATGTTTATTCCCCTCACCTTCCTAGCTGAGCCCATAGAGGGGTGTAACATATTCAGAATTTGGTGTTTTGTATTTAGAAGCCAATGCTTTTTATTCAGAAGATAGTGCTTTTTTTAGATTTATGTTTTTTGTTAGATGTTGGTGCTTTTTTGGAATCCAGTGTTTTTAATTTAGAATTCAGTGCTTTTTATTTAGAATTCACTGCTTTTTATTTAGAATTCACTGCTTTTTATTTAGAATTCAGTGTTTTTTATTTAGAATTAGGTGGTGTTTTTTATTTAGAATTGAGTGTTTTTTTATTTAGAATTAAGTGTTTTTTTATTTAGAATTCAGTGCTTTTTTATTTAGAATTCAGTGCTTTGTATTGAGAACTTGGATATTTTTTTAGAAGTCAGTGTTTTTCTATTTAGAATTCAGTGCTTTTTTAATTTAGAATTTTGTGTTTTTTATTTAGAATTGAGTGTTTTTTATTCAGAATTTGGTGTTTTTTTATTTAGAATTAAGTGTTTTTTTATTTAGAATTCAGTGTTTTTTTTTTAGAAGTCAGTGCTTTTTATTAAGAAAATAGTGCTTTTTTTTAGAATTGTGTTTTTTATTAGATGTTGGTGCTTTTTTAGAATTCAGTCTTTTTAATTTAGAATTCAGTGTTTTTTATTTAGAATTCAGTGCTTTTTATTTTGAATTCAGTACTTTTTTTTAATTCAGTGTTTCTTTATTTAGAATTCAGTGTTTTTTTAATTTAGAATTCAGTGCTTTTTATTTAGAATTCAGTGTTTATTTATTTAGAATTCAGTGTTTTTTATTTAGAATTCAGTGTAATTATTTAGAATTCAGTGCTTTTTTATTTAGAATTTGGTGTTTTTATTTAGAATTCAGTGTTTTTTATTTAGAATTCAGTGCTTTTTTAAATTTAGAATCCAGTGTATTTTTATTAGAATTCAGTGCTTTTTATTTAGAATTCAGTGCTTTTTTTAGAATTTGGTGTTTCTATTTAGAAGTCAGTGGTTTTTTTATTTAGAATTCAGTGCTTTTTAAAATTTAGAATCCAGTGTATTTTAATTAGAATTCAGTGGTTTTTAATTAGAATTCAGTGTTTTTATTTAGAAATGTGTTTTTTATTTAGAATTCAATGTTTTTTTATTCAGAATTTTGTGTTTTTGATTTAGAATTCAGTGGTTTTTATTTAGAGTTCAGTGTAATTATTTGGAATTCACTGTTTTTTTATTTAGAATTTGGTGCATTTTTAATCAGAATTCAGTGTTTTTTATTTACAATTCAGTGCTTTTTATTTAGAATTCAGTGCTTTTTCATTTAGAATTCATTGTTTTTCATTTAGAATTCAGAGTTTTTTTTTACTTAGAATTCAGTGTTTATTTATTTAGAATACAGTGTTTTTCATTTAGAATTCAGTGGTTTTTATTTAGAATTCATTGTTTTGTATTGAGAATTAGGATATTTTTTTAGAAGTCAGTGTTTTCTATTTAGAATTCAGTGCTTTTACAATTTAGAATTTGGTGTTTTTTATACTACAGTGTTTTTTTATTTAGAATTCAGCGCTTTTATTCAGAATTTGGTGTTTTTATGTAGAATCCAGTGTTTTTTTTATTTAGAATTCAGTGCTTTTTATAATTTAGAATCCAGTGTATTTTAATTAGAATTCAGTGTTTTTTATTACAATTCGGTGTTTATATTTAGAATTGTGATTTTATTTAGAATTCAGTTTTTCCTCAGAATTTGGTGTTTTTTATTTAGAATTAAGTGTTTTTTATTTAGAATTCAATGTTTTTAATTTAGAATTCAGTGGTTTTTATTTAGAATTCAGTGTTTTGTATTGAGAACTTGGATATTTTTTTTAGAATTCAGTGTTTTTCTATTTACAATTCAGTGCTTTTTTAATTTAGAATTTGGTGTTTTTTATTTAGAATTCAGTGTTTTTTAATTAGAATTCAGTGTTTTTTATTTATAAGTCAGTGCTTTTTATTAAGAAAATTGTGCTTTTGTTAGAAATGTGATTTTTATTAGATGTTGGTGCTTTTTTAGAATTCAGTGATTTTAATTTAGAATTCAGTGCTCTTAATTTAGAATTCTGTGCTTTTTATTTTGAATTCATAGCTTTTTATTTTGAATTCAGTGTTTATTTCTTTAGAATTCAGTGTATTTTTATTTAGAATTCAGTGGTTTTTTATTTAGAATTCACCGCTTTTTAAAATTTAGAAGCCAGTGTATTTTTATTAGAATTCAGTGTATTTTATTAGAATTCTGTGTTTTTATTTAGAATTGTGTTTTTTATTTAGAATTAAGTGTTTTTATTCAGAATTTGGTGTTTTTTATTTAGAATTAAGTTTTTTTATTTAGAATTCAGTGTTTTTTATCTAGATGTCAGTGCTTTTGATTCAGAAATTGTGCTTTTTTTAGAATTGTGTTTTTATTAGATGTTGGTGCTTTTTTAGAATTCAGTGTTTTTTATTTAGAATTCAGTGCTTTTTATTTAGAATTCAGTGCTTTTTTATTTAGAATTCAGTGTTTATTTATTTAGAATTCAGTGTTTATTTATTTAGAATACAGTGTTTTTCATTTAGAATTCAGTGTTTATTTATTTAGAATTCACTGTAATTATTTAGAATTCAGTGGTTTTTATTTAGAATACGGTGTTTTTAATTTAGAATTCAGTGTTTTTCTATTTAGAATTCAGTGCTTTTTTAATTTAGAATTTTGTGTTTTTTATTTAGAATTCAGTGTTTTTTATTCAGAATTTGGTGTTTTTTATTTAGAATTAAGTGTTTTTTTATTTAGAATTCAGTGTTTTTTATTTAGAAGTCAGTGCTTTTTATTAAGAAAATAGTGCTTTTTTTAGAATTGTGTTTTTTATTAGATGTTGGTGCTTTTTTAGAATTCAGTCTTTTTAATTTAGAATTCAGTGTTTTTTATTTAGAATTCAGTGCTTTTTATTTTGAATTCAGTACTTTTTTTGAATTCAGTGTTTCTTTATTTAGAATTCAGTGTTTTTTTTATTTAGAATTCAGTGCTTTTTATTTAGAATTCAGTGTTTATTTATTTAGAATCCAGTGTATTTTTATTAGAATTCAGTGCTTTTTATTTAGAATTCAGTGCTTTTTTTAGAATTTGGTGTTTCTATTTAGAAGTCAGTGTTTTTTTTATTTAGAATTCAGTGCTTTTTAAAATTTAGAAACCAGTGTATTTTAATTAGAATTCAGTGGTTTTTAATTAGAATTCAGTGTTTTTATTTAGAATTGTGTTTTTTATTTAGAATTCAATGTTTTTTTATTCAGAATTTTGTGTTTTTTATTTAGAATTAAGTGTTTTTGATTTAGAATTCAGTGGTTTTTATTTAGAGTTCAGTGTAATTATTTAGAATTCACAGTTTTTTTATTTAGAATTCGGTGTATTTTTAATCAGAATTCAGTGTTTTTTTATTTACAATTCAGTGCTTTTTATTTAGAATTCAGTGCTTTTTCATTTAGAATTCAGTGCTTTTTCATTTAGAATTCAGAGTTTTTTTTACTTAGAATTCAGGGTATTTATTTAGAATTCAGTGTGTTTTATTTAGAATACAGTGTTTTTAATTTAGAATTCAGTGGTTTTTATTTAGAATTCATTGTTTTGTATTGAGAATTAGGATATTTTTTTAGAAGTCAGTGTTTTTCTATTTAGAATTCAGTGCTTTTACAATTTAGAATTTGGTGTTTTTTATACTACAGTGTTTTTTTATTTAGAATTCAGCGCTTTTATTCAGAATTTGGTGTTTTTATGTAGAATCCAGTGTTTTTTTATTTGGAATTCAGTGCTTTTTATAATTTAGAATCCAGTGTATTTTAATTAGAATTCAGTGTTTTTTATTACAATTCGGTGTTTATATTTAGAATTGTGATTTTATTTAGAATTCAGTTTTGTACTCAGAATTCGGTGTTTTTTATTTAGAATTAAGTGTTTTTTATTTAGAATTCAATGTTTTTAATTTAGAATTCAGTGGTTTTTATTTAGAATTCAGTGTTTTGTATTGAGAACTTGGATATTTTTTTTTTAGAATTCAGTGTTTTTCTATTTACAATTCAGTGCTTTTTTAATTTAGAATTTGGTGTTTTTTATTTAGAATTCAGTGTTTTTTAATTAGAATTCAGTGTTTTTTATTTATAAGTCAGTGTTTTTTATTTAGAATTTATTGTTTTTTATTTAGAATTCAGTGTTTTTATTTAGAATTCAGTGTTTTTATTTAGAATTCAGTGTTTTTTATTTAGAATTAGGTTTTTTTTATTTAGAAATCAGTGTTTTTTTATTTAGAATTCAGTGTTTTTTTATTTAGAATCCAGTGTATTTGTTTTAGAATTCAGTGGTTTACTTAATTAGAATTGTGTTTTTTATTTAGAATTTAGTGTTTTTTATTCAGAATTTGGTGTTTTTTATTTAGAATTAAGTGTTTTTTATTTAGAATTCAGTGTTTTTTTTATTTAGAAGTCAGTGCTTTTGATTCAGAAAATTGTGCTTTTTTTAGAATTGTGTTTTTATTAGATGTTGGTGCTTTTTTAGAATTCAGTGTTTTTTGTTTAGAATTCAGTGCTTTTTATTTAGAATTCAGTGCTTTTTTATTTAGAATTCAGTGTTTATTTATTTAGAA